GGGAGCAAAAATATTTTTAAATATTTTAATTTTTTTGTACATCGTATTGTACAATATGGATCGTACTGTACGATTTGGTGTTACAGAAATTAATTAAAATATTTACTTTTTTTGTAAAAAATTTATTTTTGAAATATAACTAATCGTACAATACAAACATTACATCGTACTGGACAATTTATTATAATTAGAAACTCTGTTGCATTAAATTAGGCAAAATTTTGAATTTGAAAAGTTGTTTTATTCGTACTGTATGAACCTAATCCTATTGTATAATGTTTAAAATATTGCTTAATTTAATCATGTGATTAATCAATCGAATCAGCTTAATTTTGATATTTTGATTGTACTGTACAAACTGGATCGTAGTGTACGATCAACATAGACGATTTTGTCGTCCCATGATTCGTCCTGGACAATCTGCATTTTAGTTAAACTAATCGTACTATAAGATTGGTCATTCCGTACTAATAACTGTACAATACTAACAAGCAAATTGAATTGTTCGTACTGATGTGCGTACAGTACTAATAAGTCAAATTCTGCACATCATTTTGGACGATCCTGCGATACGCCTGAATTGAATTTTTAGGGTTTTTTTAATCCCTCTATTTAAGCTTTATCGTAAGATTTTATGAGTGTCATTGGCATACATTGAGTCTTCGTTCTTTTGGATAAAACTTGAAGAGAGAGCCTTGAAAGGCTGAGAGAAAATGGAGTTTGAGAGGAAGAAGATCATTATGGGTTTCAAGGGAGTGTAGAGGGGGTTTCTCACGGTTGCTCCGGCAAGTTTGTACCTTAGTACCATCGTATTCAAGGTTTGTCTTGAGGAAAGTTTTGGGAAGAAGAATATCTCTTTGGTGTTAAAGGACTCGGCTACTCCGCCGCACCGGGGAAGGTGAAAGTGATATCAGGTTCTCTGTCTCGCCAAAAGGGCGTAAAGGTGTCAAGATTCTCTGCCTCAATAGGAGGATGAACAGGAGTTTGGGTTCTCTGCCTCATCAGGAGGGTGAAAAGGAGTCAAGGTTCTCTGCCTGTAAAAGGAGTACGGTCCTCAACCGCACCGGGTTGGTGGAAGAGAGTTTGTAAGGGCTTCTCCGTCTAGCTGTGTGGGCTAAAGGAAAAACACCATAGTGATAGTGCAATACTCGGGGAGGAATCTGGAGAGTGGACGTAAGTCATGGTTTGACCGAACCACTATAAAATATGGTGTGTTCTTTCTGATTTTATTTTTTGTAGTTTATTTTTTCGCATTTTATTTTTTATTATAACTGCTTGGTTAAAAATCTATTATTGATATTATGTTGTATTGATTAGATTATCATCATCATCTTTATAACTTTTGAAAGTGTACTAGCTTCTGCATTAAGTGATAGTATTGCTTTCGTTTTAATGTGCGTTAGGGACAGTTCATTGAGGTCTTACAACTTTCTCGAACTTTTTTTGACAACTAGCCTTCATCAAAAGTTCTCTCTCGTTATCGGGATTGGTAATTAACTATAGGGGCTTGCACCTATAGGAAACCAGAACTCATATCTAAAGTTCTCACAAAATAAGGGCAAAATCTCTAGGTAGTGTCTTATTCACAATCCAATTTGCCTTCTGAAAATTTACCCATAAACTTAATTCGTTAAAACTCGCCCAATAGAGGGGAGGCCACACAATTATATCAAAATTGTATGATCATTGGTATTATTGGAAAGCTTATTCAATATTTTATAAATTTCATTTCACAAGTTTGGCTGATTCCAACCATAAAAAATTCTAGATTTCATTGCAAAACTAATAAAGTTTTGAACCACCAAAAAATAGTATCAAATGCTACTGAAAATGAAGAGGTTTTAGCCACAAATCTCCTAATAATAATCCAATCCTCCCCATCAACCCAATAAATACCCCAAACACCTCATGGCTAATATTACAAGATCACATCATTCTACATTATCTTGTATTCTCCACTTCACAAACACCTTGAAATAAGAGAGAATTTTCAGCACCCTCTCACATTCCCCATATGTAACTTTATCAATACAGTATGAAAATTATTTAAAATTATACCTTTCTTGTGCCTAAAATGAATGCCCTTCGTGACATGGTGGGTATAAAATGTCCTCATTTACTCAACATCTATATGTGCTACTTTTTAACATGATCAAAGACACTTTGACACTTTTTTGGTTGTAGTGTCTCATCGACATCATATATACGCTTTCATAATGTTGTGGGAGAGCCTAACACATTTACAACCCCCCCCCTCCCTTCAGGAAGATTATTTAAAATTATACCTTTTTTGTGCCTAAAATGAATGCCTTTCGTGACATGGTGGGTATAAAATGTTCTCATTTACTCAACATCTATATGTGCTACTTTTTAACATGATCAAAGACACTTTGACACTTTTATTTGTTGTAGTGTCTCATCGACATCATATACAAGCTTTCGTAATGTTGTGGGAGAGCCTAACACGTTTACAACCCCCCTCCCTTCAGGAGGTAACGTTGTCAGAATTAAAAGAATGTAGCCAAAAGAAAATTAATGAAATAGGAAGAATACAAAAAAATGATGAGAAAAGTATGGAAAATGGTAAAATAGAGAAAATATTAAAAACTTTCAAAAATATCAAAAAATAATAGAAAAATCCAACAAAATTTCATAAAATATTCTAGTATTCTTGATATTTCTTTTGGCATTTCAAGCCATATCACTCTCATTTTCTTGTAAGGAAAAGAAAATTAATTTTAAAAATTTATAAAAAGGGGTAGAAGATGCCCAAGAAAAATACAAAATTCTAATTAGCCCATTAGCCTAATAGAAATATATTTGACGGGGCAATATCTCAACAGCTATATAAATCATGAAAGAACAATACCACTAATTTTCTCTTATATTGATAGAACTAGAACTCTTTCTTGAAGACCTGAAATTGACAATTCAATTGCAAACTTCACCAAGATATTTGAAAATGCATTTGCATAAGGTCTTTAAAATCCTTTGTGGCAAATTCATCAAACAAGTAAGTCCTTTGGGTCATCACACTGACAAGACATGGTCATAAGTCTCAATCCTTCAGCCTTTCTTAGGTTCGATTCACTGCACGTGTCTGTGTTGACACTACCCGAATCCCAATTATTGTCATGAAGAAGAAATGTTAAATCTCTCATCTTTGGTTGACAACCTTTACTATTAAGGATCAAGATCATTTCTAACAATTGCAATTTATTAGGAGACATAATCAAAGTTTCTAAGTTAATCCATGAGAGGTGCATCAAGAACCTAGTTCATTACCACTAAATAAATAAATATCTACAAGCAGAAAAAAAAGAAAAAAAGCATTCATGTCAATCAATGTCATTGTTGCTCGGCTCATTTTGTATATTAGTATCCTGATAGCCCTATATTAAAAAATATGAAAATATCTATTGCTGTGATTCTTTTATATGTAACTTAAAATTATCTCATCCCCAACGACAAATGGTGTATCATAGCAAGACATCATCAAAGGGTCACCTTTTTTACTCAAAGATCACCAACTTCGTCTTCATCAATTAATGCCTCCACCTCATAAGTAATGAAATAGAAGTAACATAAAAAAATAAAACCTCAATCAAATAATGGATAGTTTATAGGGTTGTAGCTAGGTTGCCAATAACCTTACCTCATGAAGGCCATAAAACTAGATGATCAGTTAATCATGACTAGAAGGAATTTCATCATTGTCTTCATGGCCTACATTAACCAAATGCCTACCTTTAAGCTACGGCCTCTAGATAGAAGTCCCCGAACTCAAAGACAAACACTTTCAAGCCTTTCACACATGATAATAATAATTTTAATAAATTATAATAGAAGTGGATCTTATCATAACAACACTCAATTTCCAAGAAAAATGTATTTTGGGTTATCTTTATGATGATAGCATAAAAAATGCAAAATCATAATGAAGGGAACTTCATCTAAACAAAGCCATCCATTAAATGAAGCACTAGTAAATAGGCATAAAAAAGGGCAGTTCAACCAAGCATTTGCAGAAATTGTTCATACTGATTTAGATAAATTGGAGTTAAGATCATATACAACTCTCCAAATAATAAATGATTTAATGACACAGTTCCCAAACAATTAAGGTAATTAGAACAACAATAATAAACTTTTTCCAGCATAAATTAATTTTTTCCTGCATATTTTTTAACAGTAACACCTCTAGGATAGCCATGCACGTTGCATATTTTGCAAATTTCACAATATGAAGTCATAAATTAACTAAAAATCCTTAAACACCATGAATATTACCTTTTTAGTAATAACCATCTGAACAAAAATATGGCATAAATGCTTTAACATTCTGCTAAATAGTGCCCCAAAGATCAATCATAATTTATCCAATAAAATGTGAGCTGTGTTTAAATGTGACTTACGAAAGGAGGAAAAAGGAACTTATGTGAAAGATTACCAAGAGCTATGCATTGGAATTAAAAAAAATAAAACGCATCTGTAATGACCAAACAAGGATGAATAAATCAAAAGGAGAGTAGACAGTGATAAAATGGTTTATGAGTGAGCAGACCAACATTCCCAATACTATTAAAGCTTAGCCTCAAGCGACTGGATGCACCATGGTCGAATAATCAAAAGAGGCGCCTTCAATCAATCAAAAAGTAAATTAATCTAGATTAAAGAAGCATATCACTTTGGAATAGAAGTTATAGGTGCTTTTCTTTTATTTTAGCAGATAAGACTTCACGCAATAACAACAACAAGCCTTTATCCCACTATGTGGTGTCGGCTACAGGAATCCTTTTACTCCATTGTGTCAGGCAATGATTATGATATATATGCCTTTGAAAGTATTTATTTTAAAAGGTAAGACTAGTAAACATTTCTATGAGAAGAATCTGATTATGAAAAACTTATATCCATTAACAATGTGCAATTTACTAATTTGATAAGGTCAACAAAATAACCATGAAGTGTGATAATATCTAGAGTAAGCACGCACTTACTTCATGAACATGCTTCTCAAGTGAGTTAAGCTTCATATCTGCTTCACTTTGCCCATGAATCATGTCAGTTCGAAATTCACCCACTGATCGCTCAAGCTTGTAACAAAATAACTCCAACTGAGTCAACCTTCCATTGATTTCCTCAAGATTCCTCATAAAGTTGTCAGCATGTTTTTTCATGCAAATTTCAACAGCAGATATTACATCTTCCCTTGGAAATTCCTCTTGTTGTCCATATACATTAGTTGGCCTCCCAACTTTGTGTTCATGGAGATCCTGCATGGATAAGACCAACTCACTCATCAATAAAACCAAATAAATGTATCAAGAGGTTTAGTTTGGTTACCCAATAAAACAAAAATGATGGATGATAAAGAAGTATCACAGTCACTTAAATTGATGCACATAAAGCTTTTTATGTCAAAATCGTTTCAACAAAAAAAAAAAGAACTAACACGGCGGGACAATCTCTAGCAAAAGAAATTTGAGCACTTGACGTTGCAGCCTTGATGCTCTAATTTCAAAGAATTGACGGAATTTTGGTTGGTCCGCTAAAGCTGATGCAATCTAGCAGATTAATCAGTATAAAGCTTTTAAGAACAAGTAACTTCTATACCGTATAGAACAAAGCAGTCCGGCTTTATGGAAAAAAATCAACACAAAGAAATTGCTCTCGCTCAAGACAGGCTGACGCTTTTGGCATAACCAATAAACAATTCAGAATAAATTATGCTAGAATTTCAATGTTTAGGATCGGCCAGATTGGCCACCGTTCCAAATATGCTAATCTCTACTGTCTTCTACTAAAAATTGACTAAACAGAAAAGCCACGAAGCGAGATCTTATCTTATCCAATCCAAATCAACAACACCAAGTCAAACCAAGGTCTTTTCATCAATCCCAGTTACTCGATCAAAGTCCAAGGTAGCAGTTACCTTCGCCGATACCTCCGATCGATTCGCATTCGCCGTCTGATCCTGCTGCTGTGTGTAATCGTCATATGAGAACAACAGTTCATCGGAGACGAAATCAAAAGATCTAGACTCCGATGACATCGGACGCCTCGAAGACCCGCCCGACGCCATCGATAACCCGAATCTGAGTTCCAAAATGGAAAATAGGATAAGGTACAGGGTTACAAGAAAGAGTAACGAAGCTGCACTGTTCTTCCACCGTGCTTCGTTCGAAAGTTGTTAAAACTCAATGATGGAAGAAGACGAATGGACTCGGTCAGCCGGAAAAGTCGCGGTCGATCGATTAGCGACCTAAGGCAAAAGCAATCCGCAGTAGTTGTATCTTTCTGCAGCTTATCTGGTGACCATGGTTGGACGAAGTAAGTGAACTTGGAATGAGCCGTTATGGTTTACTGGTCCGAGAAGGCTTCCATGAATTAGCATTTATTTTTCTATTTTTTATTTTTGGACATTTAGGCGAATTAAGGTTTTTTTTTACAACTTTTTTTTATTATTTTTAAACCTATTTTTATATAAATATTTTTAGTTTTAAAATTTTTTTAATTAAAAAGTTGGTTTAAAAAATAGTAAAAAAAGCTAGGGTTCATGGAAGCCTTCTCGGACTAGAAAGCTGTTTAAAAAAAAAATTGTGCTAAAAAATTGCTTCAAATATCAGTAAAAAAGTCGTCTCAAACGAAGTCTTAGTCAAACTCACACACACATCATATACGCAAACTTCAAACTCGAAACCTCTTGGTTGATAGTCAAAGCTCCTAATCTTTTTTTTTTTTTTGAAGAAATGCAAATTGCAGTAAAAAATAAACAACTATTACAAACTAGAAAGCAAAGACAAGCCCTTTAAAATTATCATAATGGAAATGCCATCTACTAAATTTCATTTTAAATCCATTGGGGTGATGGGGACACCAAATATTAAAACAACCTAAAAGGTTGGTTAGTATCTCAGAGTTCCCAATATATGAAAAATAAAACCTAGTAAAAATCACACATTTCATTACAATAATTTCAAGAAGGACATAAAACCCTACAAGAAAACCATAAAAACAACAAACTACAAAAAGTAAATGAGCAACTAAAAAAGCTGTCAAAACACCAAAATGACCATCTTCAACATCCTTAGAGGCCAACGCGCTCCAATCAAGGGATGAATCCGTTGAAACTTCAAAGCTTCCAATAACAATCATCATGGATGAACAAAGCAAAGTCGATGAAGCAATAACACCAACACCCAACTCAAGAGGCCAATAATCGACCTCATCCTTTCCAAAGCCATATGAACTGATAATCATCACCTCCCTCATCACACTGACATGAGACAAACCAATAAACTTCAAATCCGATCCTTCAAGTCTTTAATCAATAAGACTTGAACTTCAAAGAACAGCTGAGAATCAAGAGACGAAACAAAAGTCTCCATTCCCTTCCAGCCTTCAGCAATCACACCAAGATCTTCAAAGATCAAATCAGTAGAATCCATTGACTTAGTTGGGATGAGATCCCACCTAAGTACATCACCTATGCGTCCAACCATTAACATCTTAGAAGAACCAAACAAAGCAGACAAATCCATAACAATAGCTCCAACCTCAAGAGGCCAAGAAACGACCTCAAACCCCATAACCTTCATTAATAAATCTTTAGAACAAAACATTCCACATCGCTGAGAACAAAGTTCACACCAGAATTTCTTGAATAACCAACAATTCCACTTCAAGAATCTCTCATTTTCCAAAAGTAAATCATAAAATTTTTTTTCTGCTCCAAGCACCACTTCCCGATATCCATGAAAACCAACCGAATTCAAACAGCAATCTCCACAGGTAAATTCAGGAATAATTCCAGCAGAACATCCCAACCACAAGCAAAATTTGGTCAAAAATTCCACCATCAGAAACAGAGGAAAATCAGTAAGCGGAAGACTTATTCCAAGAAAACCAAAAGGCAATGTCGAGCAAACAACAAATCTCCTTTAAAATCACCTCCAGACTTGAAATCCTACCGAAATCAATCAATAATCTAATGGCAAAAGAGTAAAAACCACAAACATGAATAATGGCTAAATCAGTCTGACGAAGAAACAACATCTCTGCCCAAATCCACTTCAAATGGACAGCTTCTATACCAAAATCCCACCAAGGCCCTCCGTCAGCCATACCAGGCCGACGGAGAACTACTTAATGCCTACATTCGGTCAAAATCGCCAAGAACGTCGATATTACTCTTCGCTCTTCACCGCTCCTCCTGTTCTTCATTCCGTCAACATCGATAGAGAAACACCACCAAGGATCTCCGTCGGCCATACCTGGCCGACGGAGAACCAACGATCGCCTTTGTTCCTTCAAAATCGCCAAGAATGTTCGCTCTGCTCCTTTAAAGCTCCTAATCAATAGATTTAGATAAGCTGCATGTGAGTCGATATTGTTGGAAATACTTTTAAGGAGTTACATTCATATTATAAAATTTCTTTGCATCTATATTTTTAATATTTAATATTTAAATTTTTATAGTTTTATATAATATTTTAACTATTAAATTATATAAAACTTATTGTTGATATAAATATATTTAAAATAAAATATAAATACGATTTAAACATAAAATAATATATAAATGATAATAAATTGTTAGATATTAAATATGTAAATACATTAAATAATTATGATGTATATGTTTTTTGTATAAGTTGAGGATAAACCTAATTCATCTACTATGAAGAATAATTACAAAATATAAAATGCAAGCCAATGCAATTAAGACCTCAAGTATCATGAGCAATAATTAAATTAGCAATGCTAAAAAAAGTCCAAAAAGGAAAAAATCAAATCAAAATAGTAAAATCTAGATTCATAATGTGTGAAAAAAAATCCAATATAACATGAATTTGCATGAGGAACAACCCATTACAGCCCGGATCGTTAAAATAACCTTCCACAGACTCTCGGCAAAAAATAGCCATATGATTCAAATTCATCATAGCCCTGATAAAGAAATAGCCACAATAGCAAAACTGTAAAGCAAATAAAGTACAGTCATCAAATTTAGAGGTATAAGAAACCCAAATCAACACAATAACCCCCAAGAATAAATTTTTATGTGAATGGCTTCAGAAATAGTCCGGAATAGAGCATATTGTCTTTTTATATTGTTTCCAAATCTTCTATCTCTATATAAAAATAACTATGCAACAAAGAGAAAGGTAAACAGTGTTTTTAAGAGTGTTATCATTTCTTTGCAAATTGGCAATATATATGATCAAAATTTTGGAATAGGTTCTAATCTTTAAAATGTCAAAGATATAATCACATTCAAAAAATAGGTGCATTATGGTCTCATAAACATCAATAAGTGTCAACTTCTATGTTGTGGACTTTTAGAGCAACAACTATTTAAGGCTCCCATCATAGCAAGACAAGTATAACAAGAGTACCTAAGAGTGCATTTTTTATATAACATATTTCCACCATTGTGCTACCTTGAAGCTTGCATAAAATTTAGAAATGAAGCTTTTAAAAGTGGGTTTTGAGTTTTCCCTCGACAAAATTAAATCAGCATAAAGATCAACCTAAATGGTCAAATATGTAATCACATTAAAAGCCTCCTTAGAAGGTGCACATAATTAAGTTATTCACCATTTCTAATGATAATAGAGAGAGCAACCAAAATTCACATTAAGGGGAACAAAGTTTTCAAGAATGATTTTAATGAGGCCTTTCCCAGCACATCAAGGGTCCCAAAGGGTAGAAATCTTAGCTACATGATGAATTTTCTATGGAATACGAGTTGTCATAACAACAATAGCATTTTTTTTTTGCTCTCCCATAAAATAGAGCCCTTAGAAGATGTAGGATTCCAAAAATTCCCATAATTATAAGACCAACAAACAAGTAGGCCTTGAGAATTTAAACAATAATACAACAAGGAGCAATTAAAGGTGAAAGAAGGAGCTAGATGGAAGGTAGCAGAGACACCTATAGTTCTAAGGTTTGCAAGTGTTGGATTAAGAGATCAATCACATTTTTTTGTGTTAATGTCACCATGATATAAGAACCTAGAACATATCTTGGTAAATTAATTTGCACCAACTCTTAAGTAAAATGGCACCACATATCCAGTATGTAGTGGAATTACAAATGGTGATTTAAAGTATTGTAACCTTCTACCAAAAGAGAAGGTTTTAGCTACATATCCATCTAACAACACGACAGATCATAGGTATGGCCCAGTAGGTAATGATTTTGTTAATATTAGGAATTTTGAGCAACTCCAATAGATTATTTTGATCAAGGGTATTATTTGAGAATGTGATGAATCTTTAAGGGGGTTATAAGCTAACCCAAATAAAATTTTGAAGTGCATAAGAATATTTTTGAGATCTAGCATGTTTTAAAGGTTTCCATTACCAAAGACAAATAAGTCATCTACATATAATAGGTGGGAGAGATGAATATCACCCATAGTGATACCTAAATAGTCTTGGGCAATAATATTATAATAAAGTCCATCCATAATTATGCAAAATAAGTAGAGGGAAATAAACACCTTTATCTATGGCCAGAGCATGAATTAAAGAAACTCTCAGGATTATCTTGATGCACACAAAGAAATGGACATTATCAATGCAAGCTTTAAACTATCCAATAAATATTTGAGGAAAACATGTAACATGTGTTGTTTTGGGACTAAAGTAACTAGCATAATTTAGAATGAATGATCACTTAATCTTGATATAGTTATGCATTTTAAATCCTATAGTGTCTAAATTTCTTCAAATAAAATTAGAATTGAAAAGGGATAAAGAAAATTATAAGGAGTGAAAATACCCCTTAAAGTTGTAGCGTTATGGCGTTGTCTTTTATGTTTGGGAAGAGGATTTAGGGGAGTGTTGCATGGAGAATGAGGTTGACTTCTAAAAACCTATCTTTGATTTCAATTCTAATAATTTTATAATAGGCTATGAACAAAAATATATTTTTCTTGGGTTTTTTACCGTTATAATCTTTTGTATATTTTTATATGATTTATTCTAAACATTTTAACAATAAGAAGTTCAATTTTTACCAATTGGTTTTCTTTGTGATGATATATATGGATATTGAACAAATGAAGAAATTCTAGTTTTCGTAATAATTCCTTAAAAGTCTTGAAACATTGCTCTCAATATTCTTCTAAAATTATTATTTAAATGGAAAATGTTCAATGGGTGGGCTTTTACAAATGCAATGTAGCTTAATATTGGCAATCCTGATAGTTCATGCATTATTTAATCATGTTTAATAAATTACTGAAGCATTCAGTTTGCATAATGCATGGCATGGCATTGAAGAAGTTCTAATCTTTAAAA